AGCACGATGAATCATCTTCGGAAGACAATGAGTGTTGGCCTGTTTTGTAAACAATTCTTTGTATGGGACCATGCAGGGCGCACAGGAAATATAACAGGGCGCTGACAATTTAAACAGGGCGTCAATTTCAGATAACAGGGCGCGGCGCCCTGTAAAAACCCCTCGTGGAGAACCCTGTACCTGTAACTTCATGCAGGATTCCTAATAAATGATTTTGCAATATTGGGGCTCCAGGATATTGTATTCACTGACGTCGTTTTGAATTTACATTTTCATGGTGCTTTCTCTTTAATGTTTAGTTTGTTTCTGTGGAATGTTTTGTCGATTGCTGTTTGTTATGTGTTCATGGAAATTTCTGATATGACTTTTGTGCAAAAAATCAACAGCCGTTTAACAGTTATGTTATTTCAACTTTGCAGTATATCGTATCCAGTACGTTGACTGTAATGTGAATTTCGTTGATTAATGCTGTATGGTGACTTTCTTCGAGGCCTACTGATACAATCCTGCAACAATCTGTCTGCCGTCGCTGTCAAGCAGCGATATGATTTCACACACAGAAATTAAGAATCACATACCGTACTCGACCGTGTTGGCACCCAGGGTCCTGAACTCATAAAATCAGGATTTTTAGGGGTGGGCGCTTACCCGAGCACCCCCCTCGGAAAAGAGTGCAACTGATTTTTAATTCACCGTGTGACAGATTTAGGGGGATATTACGTGAGGATATTACGTCTTTGAAAGTTTGAGGAAAAATAAAATTACGAAATTAGGTGCGTCGTCATTGACAGAAATGGTCAAATTTGCACATTTTATTACAATATTAATAACGTACCACCCAAATTTGCAAGATTAAAAATATTTGAGTCTGTTTGAAGACAATCAAAGTCAAAATCTCCATCATTATCGCCACTGGCAAATGTGTCGAATCGTACGCAAACTCTCGATAAAAAACACTTTCCGCCATGATGTATTTGCGTTTGACCTGCACCAACGTCCTTTGACCTAATCGGTCAAGTCTGTTATTATTCAATCAAAATGCTTTGTGGTACCAACGCAATTCTTTGGAAATTCCTGAAGACTCTTGGGTAACACAATGCGGAAGTGAATTATCGATGTTGAAGTACGATCTGTTGGAATTGATTTCGGCGAATAAATGACATGTTTGTTTTTTTAAATGGTAACTCGTAATTTTTATCAGTAAACTAAATACGGCATGAAATATTTACTGCATTTTACTTTTATTAACAGGTCATTGTGGAAGCACAGTTTACGCACGGTTACTGTGTGGTCTACGCATTCACAACATATTCACGGCGGTCGATATCCAGGCTGTATCATGATATAAAAAACAATTACCAGTATTCTTTAAGTAATGATCAAAAACCAAGTTTTAAATTAGTGGCATTTTGAAGGGGTGGGCGCTTTGCCGAATGTGACCTCGAATATAAAAATTGCACAAAAATGGGGCATGGGCGCTAACACGGTCGAGTACAGTATGTACACACAATACATCGAAATTAACACTAAATGCAGATATATTTGTATCCTGGAAAGCTTGCCAATCATCGATCACCATGAGTGATGCAATTGGTGTTTCCATTATCTTCCATTCTTAAAAACACCCAAGTGAATGTTGTGAGTTTCTGAGAGTGAGTCTGCATTGAACAGGAAGTCCATTCTGGACTACCGTACTCGACCGCGTAAGCGCCCAGGGGCCTCAACTCAGAAAATCACGATTTTGTAGGGGTGGGCGCTTGCCCGAGCACCCCCCTCGAAAAAGAGTGCAAATGAAAATTTTGATTCATCAAGTGACAGATTACGTCTTTGAGGGAAAATCAAATTACTAAATTACAAATGTAGTTGCGTCGTCATTGATTTTCACAATGAAGAAACAGAAATGATCACAAAAAATACACACATTTTATTACAATATTAATTACGTACCACCATAATTTACGGAATTAAAAACATTTGAGTCTGTTGGAACACAGTACAAGTCAAAATTGTCATATTATTTCCACTGACGAAGTTGTTGGATCGTAAGAAAACTCTTGATGAAAATCACTTTCTGCCATGATGCAATTGCAGATTTGACCTACAGCAGCGTCCTTTGACCTAATGGGTCAAGTTGGTTATTAACTAATCAGAATGCTGTGTTGTACTGACGCAATTCTTCGGAAATTCCCGAAGACTTTCCGATAACGCAATGAGGAAGTGAATTATCGATGTCGAAGTACGATCTGTTGGAATTGATTTCAGCGAATAAACGACATGGTTTTTCCAAAAGTCTAGTAACTAGCCATTTTTGAGAGGTAAACTGAATAT